GGGTCCACCATTCTTCCTTTCAGTTTAAGATGTTTACATGATGCAGCCAAGCACATCCTATCCTGAACGTGTGTCTGGGTCCCACTAGTGTCACAGCAATTTGTGTGAGAGCAACTGTGGGTGGTGCCACAGACCAGCAGCCTGGAGACCCTGCCTGCCCCCGCAGATTTAGCAAGGTGGTGATTCGCAGAATGCATACAACAGCCTTTACAAGTGAAGGTATTTCACCCAGCTTGAGAATGGGAGCACCACTGCATCTAAAAAAGAAAAAAAAAAAAAATCAACTCTTGCTAATATTTTGTTTGGTGGTTTTAAGCTGCAAGAGACATATTTAGAGAACAGAATATGTTGGTTCAGACTCTCCTTTCTCACCTCTACTCCTCCACTTGCAGTATCACAACTATCACCAAGCAACTAATTTTATAACTGGAAAGGACTTCAGAAAAAACTTCAGTTAAAAAAAAAAGTATGTGATATTAATATTTAAATACTCAAAATACCCAAAATGAGGATAAATATATATGTTTGAAAAGCCAAAGATAACAGAACAGTCTTATTTATGGAGAAGTATTGCTAACTCCTACCATTTAAGCAGAATGTGCTCAACTCTTCTGGCCACTGAGCAAAACTAGAAAGAAGTCTGTCTTTAGAGCAACAAGGGTATTTAAGAATATTACTCCTTTTTTGTCATTCTTTTTCTTTACCTTTGGCTCCTGAGCTTTCTGGGCACAAATGCATAAGGGCTTTTTCCTTAGGAAAGGAAGCAGATCCCCACACATCCAGATGAAGGCAGAAGCTCAGACCCACGTATCATGACCCTCAGGGAGCTGACGGGCCCAATGAAGATCCCGTGGTGAAAAATGGTCTTTTACCACCTTCTGTGTCAAATGCAAACTGTGGAATCACAGGCTGGACACCACAGGGTTAGGGTGAAGAAAAGCAGAATACTCCCTCTCTCTCCATCCCGTGACGATGAAAGATTTCTCTACATCACATGGTTTCTGCAGCAGTTTCTAAGATGCTGGGATTTGCTTGGCTTCTCATCATTAAAAATTGTGATCCTCAACTGGAGAGCAGAGGGATGTGTAGGAACATCAGTCAAACTTATTTTTCGTTCTACATAAATCCAGCTCACTGGTCCTTTAGCTTTATTTGCCCTTCCTTTCACCTGGAGCCAGGCTGGTGCTGAAGGTGGAGCTGCATGTGCACAACTGGCACCTCCTCACTATCGGTGCCCAACGGGATGATTTACTGGAGATGAGGACTAAGCTCCTGGCTTTGTGTACTTGCCGTGGGAGATGTTCTCCTGTTGATACCCAGTGGTGAAAGGTTTTTAGAGTTGTCATGGGAACAGCTGTCATCTTCAGTGAGCATGAGGCTGCCTCCCTTGTTTACTGTACAAAGCCATTTTTCAGGAGCGTTGTGCCTTGGATTTCCAATAGTCTTATCTCTCCCAAAACCCAGGCTGTAGAAATTGTGGAGATTATTAAGACGGATAGTGATAAAGCCCCTACAGGGAAACAGGCGGGAGCCAGTACTTGTCTACATCATGAGTTAATCTTCATTTGCAGGGCAAGTCATCTGACAGCTTTATTATCTTCTTCTACTTAAAAGGCTCACTCTGCTCTGTGTCTCTCTCTCTCTCACACACACACACACTTGCATCTCTCCCTCCTTCCTCCAGGAATTTGCAGACAAGATGTGTTTGTACAGCTACCCAAGGTGCGGAGGTGAAGCCAGCACACTGCACAGCCCTTTTTAGGATGTGCTGATGCACAGAGACGTTTGCAATGTCTTGTTTCATCAAGTGACAAAGTCTGTGTAGAAATATCACTGCTACGAGGGTCTCTCAGGGGCTGTGTCTTTGATACTGGTGCATCCCCAGGCTACAGGGACAGAAGCAAAAGGCTGTACGTCCTACCACGCCACCGCCAGCAGCTCTTGTTAGGACCCCAAGTCTTCAGCTCTCAGGGATGAGGCAGCAGCAAAGGAAACCCCAACCAGAACAGGGACAGTCCATTTTGTGCTGATTTAGTATCACGGCTGTCTCACAAGCAAGACCCAAGAGACCACTATCAACAAATAAATCATTTTGGCCAATTCAAATTGAGGGGTTTTCCCCAATATATTCCATGAAACAGAAACTTGAAAACAACGAGGGAGTTGAATTAAATATTTTGACTCAGATTGTTTCAATTTTGAAATAAAATTCCAAAGTCTAAGATCAAAACACTCCACTTAGGAGATATAAAAACATTTCACCACTTTAAATCACTCTCTTTCCTCCATCTCCATCTATGAGGACTGATCATCAGATGTGGCATGAATCCACCAGCAGTTCAGCCAACCTAAAATGCATTTTAGCAAACTTACTGTGAGCCTCCAAAAAATACATTCGAGCCCAGATTCTGTAGTGATCTGACCCAGAACACTATTGCCAAGCAGCCCAACCTCAAACTTCTCAACTCTCCACAGCTGCCTTCACTCACTTAAGAATCTTCAAACTTCCTACACATCAAACTTACATCAGAACTGGCTGGAGTTTCCTACAGGTTCTGCCAGAATAGGACGAAGTGTTATCAGAAGAACCTCTCTTCAGGCTCACTTATTCTCACGCCACTGAAGCAGAAGGGTTGTCTTCTGCTTTCAACAAGGGCCAGGGTCAGGGAGGGTGTTTCACACCATTTACCCATGGCAGGTGCCAACCACCATTTCCTGAAAGGTTCACAACAAAACAGATTAATGTCAGGACTAATTATTTGACAGCAAAGTACCATGACAATTTGATAAAAGTCTTACACACAAATATAGTACAGCTAACGCTTAAGTGCTCAGTAAATTAAAGGGATTGTAATTAAGGTGCTTTAAGGTGCCACATTGTTTCATTGATTAGAATAAAAGCTTTTCCCACTTGACACTATCATTCATAACACAATACAGTCTTTTCCTACCCACTTGGCACTGGTGTTGTAAGAGGGGCATTGGGGTGAAGGCAACTTTTAGAAGACTAAGTTTTCTGAGCATTATTAAGCAAAAATTGCATCCTTTATAGCTTCAGTAGTCAATTCTGACAGCATCTGATAAGAGCAGGGATTCACATTGTCAAAAGTTTGGGTAGATTTAGGAAATGAAAAATGTTTCCAATAGCTGGCTCCATCCTGCTCCTGCGGTGACGGGCCGCCTCTTTACAGTCCCATGGCCCAATACGGAGCTTCTGCAGGACAAAGAAAACCTTCCGTGACTAAGTGCTACTACAATTACCTGTCTCCACAAAAAGAAAAGAAACCGGCTTCCAGCTTGATAGAAATTCCTCACAGTAAAAACTGAAATGATGTACTCTAGTTAATTACTCCCAAGCCACCCCTCAGAGGATCGCACCCCTCGGCTCACAAACCAGCCAGGACTCCTCAGCCGGCCACAAGTTAGATACAGGTTATGTCAGACAGTGAAGCACAAGTCTTTTTTTTTTTTTTTAATATTGCTACTCTGGGATGAGCTCACCCCACTGTGAGTCACTAATCCACAAAGACAGCTTGTAACATACAATAAAAAGCAGATCCTTGCTCTCAATCCTTACTGAAGTGGCCAAGAGGCATCACACGCTCTCAGCCCTCTCAGCACCATACTACACATATTCCTCTGAGCATCTCAAGCACATATCCTCAGTGCCCTTTAGTATTTTCCATGAAGGACCCTCAACATAGTCACGGCATGGGTTTCATGATCCAAATCTAGACTTAGTATTTTCCATGAAGGACCCTCAACATGGTCACGGCATGGGTTTCACGATCCAAATCTAGAATAAGGTCGGACTTGACCATTAAAACTCTCTTCTGGAGCCATCCCCAGACACTCACCTGGGTTTTGACAAATTTAATTACTTCGATGTTCATCACTGCAGTGCTCTGCCATAAAGCAGAAGTCCTTTCTGCAAATGTATTTAGGCAGATTCAGAACTATGTGTATATTAAAAGAAATATCACATCCCCTTCCGCAGAGTGGTAGGTCATGGTGCTGGACTTTCGCCTGTAAATCCCGAGTAGAACTGGACAGCAGCAACTCTTCCTCCAGTCTTACCTGCTGGAGTAGACAAGCTGGTGGCAAGATAGGCTGGAACAAACTAAGCAGGTTCAGGCACTAAAGAGATGGCATTACACAGGTTAATCAATAGACAGACACTGGGAGAACATCTCCAGTCTCCTTTATTTTCATTTATAGAAAAGTATGAATATAAATCATCAGAATATAAAAAAATATTCCCAATAGTTCCAGTTGAAAGTATAAGGCTATAGCTAGCCCTCCTGGTACAGCTGGGATGACTTCCTATTTAGAGCCCCAGGAGTGCACTGCATTTTTGGGCAACTCGGAGATGCTCCTTGAAACCTGAAGTCCAAGAGCCCATTTATCCCTGGTACCTTCTATTCTCACTGATTTGAGCAGGCTCATTTCTAAGTTTTGCTATTACCTTGGCAGCACAATATCAATCCTCTGTCAGACTGAGGATCAATATGAAATGATGAGACCACAGAGGGTAAAAACAAAAGGAAAAGACATATAAGTGCAAGCAGAAAGCATCCACAAAGAAGTGCCACTGCCATGAAAAAAGGAATTTGAGTTAATTTATTTTGCACTGTTGATTCTTCATTGAGACTTTGGAAAAAGAATAATTAAACTTGGGTTCATACAGCTTTTTTTGTCCAATTTCTTGTTGATTCTTCATTGAGACTTTGGAAAAATAATAATTAAACTTGGGTTCATACAGCCTTTTTTGTCCAATTTCCTATTTGGTAAATTCTCATCCCTCTCAAGAAAGGGGGAATTTCCAAGAAGTCATCAGGGTCACCAGGCCTCTCTAAGGCAGAGGAGGCAGCAGGATTTTTTTTCACTTCAGAGCCAGCCTGATTTCTTTGGAAATTGAGGAGTACACACAAACAGAGGATTCAGGATGCCCCAGTGCAGACAGGAACCTCTTGAAATTAAGTGGCAGAGCCTCTGGCACAGAGAAGTCATTGTTTCGGTTGTGGTTACCAGTGCTGCTGCACGTTTACGCCAGACAAGCCACCGCAGCAGTTGCTCGCTGGGACCATCAGAAGTTAGATGAACAAGAAGCTGTGAACAGAAGGACAGGAGCAAGTGTCCAGCTGGCGAATTCTCTTCCAGGTTCCCTTGCATTGAGGGTTCCCTACCGCCTGCCAGTGCAACAGCTGGTTCCTGAAACACAGTCACAAGGGGGAGAAAGTTAACATGCTGCACCTCCACTGCAGGGAAGTCACTTGTACAACGCGGGCTTAAGTCACCCAGTAAATCCCATTTAGTTTGCCAATATCAATTTTCACTCCATGGACCCAATTCTGCCTTTCTACTGCTGTGAAGAAGCAGCAACCACAGTGACCCCACAGGACCGGAACAGGGTGAAATAAAGCCCCAGTCAGCCCTCACAGGAACACTGGGCTGGAAGAACCCAGAGCAGCACATACTGTACACGTTAAGTCCAACAGGATTCACAGCAATACTCCCTCAAGATTTCCATCACTGCATGCATCCCAAAGCACACCAATATCCCCAAAACGCCTGTATTGAAACACTTGACAGGCTGCAAAGTGGACAAAACACCTCCTTCTCCGTCTTTTGCCTAATAACCACACAAACTGGCATTTTGCTACAGCAGTGTGCCCCTTTCCAGATTTTAGCACTTACTGGTTTCAGGAAATTCCTCACATTGGTGTGTCCCAGTCCTGGCCTTTGGGGAAGCCCAGATACCACAACCGGATCAGCTGTGCCCTACACAGAGAGTTGCCCACAGAACAGCCCAACAGACCCTTTGCTTCTGCTTGTTTTATAGCTCCGTAGAAACTGGAATTACTGCTCCAGCTCCACAAAGACAACCTTGCCCTTGGTTTAACGAGATGTCATGCTCCAGAGCAGGGTTTTATGCATCACACATGGTTGGAAAAGGCTCACTGTATTTTTCTTTTGGCTTGAGGTCAATTCAAAATACCAGAACCCGCACAGGGAGGATTAAGATCCCTGATAAAGCAGGCTGTGCACGGAGCAGTCCCATACCCTTCAAACCTCCAGGCTGCAGCTTTACCTTGAAAAGGCTTTACTCCTTAAACACATAAGCTAAACTTGTCTAATCCTGTCTTGCTGGTGGGGAAGGCGTATACTGACTTTGCTATGAATCAAGACCATCCATCTTCTCTCTCCCTCTGCCCCATGAGCAGGGGCACAAACTGCCACAGTCTGGACACTTATGTGCTACAACAGCCGCATCTTGCTCCAGATGATGAAGAGCAGCTGATCCTTCTAGACAAAGGCTGAGTAACAACTTAACAGATGTCAAGTCTGTGCTGTGCTTTATTTGCAGATCTTTCAGAAGATGATCCAAAATTAACAGATTAATTTGCCAGCTCAATGCTCTGCCTTGTTTATCTCATAACCTCCCAGAAGGAAGAAGCCAGTCCAAGCTGTTGAACGATGTTAGCTAGCCTCACCTGATGGCCACACATCTGGCCATAAAGCAAGGGCTTTGGGAAACCTCTGGAACTTTCATAACAGGGGTTAAAATGAACTAGCATCTTCTACAGACTGGGAGACAGGTGGAAGGCACAGATAACAAGCATCTTGCTTTAACTTGAAGCATTTATAAGCCAGACTCCACTTAGACACAAGAAGATAATTAGGAAATACTCATCAAAATATACCAGCACTGATGAGTTTATTTTAAACTCTGTCAGATGTTTTCCTTCCTGAGAGTCATTCTTGGAACAATATCTCGGAGAAACTAAATGCTGGCACAAGCTGCTGAGCTGACGGGGCGAGAAGCAGAGCGCAGCACGGCGTGGGTGGGACAGCAGCAGCTGTGCACGATGGCACGGGTCAGACAGCATTACCACTGCTTTAAGGTTACCAGCAAACTGTCCGTGTCTTCTGGGAGGGTGATCAGCAGAGTTAAGCAGGCAGAAATTCAAAATGAGGGTGAACTGAGTACACAGCCAGAGACCTGTGAGCAGATCTGGGCAAACTCAGCACAGGCTGCATCCTAGGCTCTGGCATCAGCTTTGGCGTCCCACCATCCTCTTTCTCAGGGCAGCAGTTGCTTTCCCATCTTCTTCCACCTTTCTTTACAAGCATCACATCTTTGCTCTCTACATCTGGCCAGCGAATCCCAGCCTGAGGAGCTCACCGTGCGACCCCCTTGCAGCACTGCTCCCTTGCAAGGCTGCAGGCTCCGACACAGCCACTCACTCTGCCAGAAGGCAGAAGCCTTTTCACAGACATTTCCTTCATCCCACTCAATGGTCATCCCCACCAACAGTCCAATTTCTTCTCAGAGATCATGGAGGTCAGTTTTTCCCTCTGTGCAACCTGGTAAAAATGGTGTATTGTTTCTGGAAACAAATCAGGGGTCAGCTCTGTGCATATAAAGAATACCTGTGGTAAATACTTGCACTTGAGATGCTGATATCAAGTAGATCAAGCAAGACACCCAGCCCTGGGCAACAATCTCCTTGACCCAGCACCGTAAGGTCATACGATGATAAAGAACACCAGACCATGACCTGGGGGTTATCTCGGGGATACCCAGTACAAGATCTGTGTGAGACACAGGGGAGGCTACGCACACACATGCACATGCACACACACAGAGGATGAGGATGCTGCAGACCAGAGATGTCATTTGTGTCCCACCTGCCAGTCACACACTCATCTCTGACAGAGCTGCCAAGCACTGCTGGTCCAAGGAGGCTTGACGTGTGTCTCCATTGCCTTCTGTAAGCAGGAGCTTTGTCCCCTGCTCGGGCCAGCCCTGCCCAACTCCAGGCCTGTGTGACCACCCTGGCAATGAACCCAAGCAAACACACACAGTACCTCAGCTGGGCACGCTCACAGAGAGCTCATACCTGCCTGGAAATGCCACAGACACGACTTCATTTGACATTCTGGGCAGTAACGGTGGAGGGGTAAAAGCTCACCATGTCAGAAGCTGGCTGTCACACGTCCATAATGAAATGGACCCACCAGTTCATCTCACCTCCAGCGAAACGCTGGGAACGCCTCCTAGGCTCTGCTCAACTGGGATGGATTCAAATCAGCTGCTGAGACATGGGCTGAGTCCTGACCTCAGTGAACCCATCACCATTCCCCCCAGCTCCGTCACCATCACCCCTCTCCAGCCTGCCAGCACCTGAGGATCAGGACACGGTCCCACTGAGCTGTGTTTCCATTCCACTCAGTGCTGGCCAACAGATCTGGTGAATGAAAATGCCCCCCTCTTTTTGCAGCCTGATGAGGAAATGAATTCCTGGATATATTTTTTTATTTTCCTCAATCTGATGTTCTTGCATGGCTCCAGGGTTTTAGTAAAATAACATTATTGTAAGCTTTTATAATCATTTACATGTTGAATGCAGGTAAGAGCTACTCCTGGCCACACCAGCTAAGAGTTTTTTCTTCTCTATGTAAAAGCTTTTGGAACCTTTGTACATAACAAGCTGAGGCGGAGGAGGAAAAGGCTCTAACATGACTTCCTCTTACTAAAAAGCTGAGACAAACCCTGCCTAAAAAGCCATTATTGGCAGCCTTGGTAGTGCAGTACATTGTGTACTCGAAGCCTGGTAATCCTCGTTCAGAGTTTCTGATTCAAATGAACACGCTCATTTCAACATTTGTGTAAGTTTTAAAAACACTCCCGCCCAGAACTGATGGGCAATGATTTTCCCAGGCAGGGCTGCTAACCGTTTCAGAGGATGCCTTTAATAAACTAGCAGCAGGGTGACGAGTACCAGGATAAAAGCAGCGCAGCAGCTGTGCCTCCAGCCACCACGGCAGAGGCTGGGGAGCCGGGACGCCTCTGCTGCTGGCTCCGCCGCACATCTACTGCACAGCTTCGAGCCATTCCCTCCATCTTTGCTGGAGTCTACCCAACATGTACAACCTGAGTGATCCCCATCAATCACCCCAAAGCTTCTTCAGCCAGGAAAGGATGCTGAAAGTGCAGCGACAGAACAGTGCTTCCATCCAACCTCAGGTGCCAGCACACAGCCCAGGTCCCTAAGCCAGCTGCCGCTCGCCAGAAATCCTCATAAAGGGTCACTTATAGAAACAAAATCCCCAGTGCTTAAAAATGAGAGATAGATTTGGTTTTATTTGCCATCTGTCAGGACTGTTAATCTTAGAGGCATGGCTGGAGTGTCTTTAAAACAAAAAAAACTCCACAAATGTGCTCCTTAAAAGTCAGTGAGATTTAGCAGACTGAGTGCAGGCGCTCCCACACTTCAGTCCTGGCTCTGCCACTGGTTTAACACATGAGCTTTAATCTCTGCAAGAAACTTATCGCAGGCAACAAAGACTAGTTAATACACATACAGTGCTCCAGAGAGCTGTGTGCAGAACACAACGAAACCGGGACCAGCAGATCAAGGGAGAAGAATGAAAAATTCAACATGAAAACAAAAGCTTACTTTTTGCTTCCACTGCCATCCCCGTAACAATGCAGACTTGTGGAGTCTAGAGCCGGGTGCTGACACTCCACGCAGACAGTGTGGCCCTCCCTGAGATACTGCATCCAGCGAGTGTACGAGTGGTGGCTGTGTAAGCAGCCTGGAGTGATGGCCGTGAGCTGGAATTCAACACAGTACCTGCAGACAAAATAAGCGAGAAGGTTAGCTTGATAACCAGATCAGAGCCCTCCATGGGACCGGGAGGGCCAGACTAAACTGGGTGACTACAGATCACCAATTAAAAAATAAAACCCAAAAACAATTAAACCCCCCTCCCACACCCAAGGTCATAAAAAACAGAACATGTGGTGCACCTGCATTTTGACAAGGTTAAATGGGGAATAAAGCTACTCTGCTGGTGTTTTCAACTGACATATTAAATAATAGCAGGTATTACTGGCACCTGTTTTTACAAATAGAGACACAGATTGGTCAAGCATTTGACTAAAGAAAGAAAAAAAACCCAACAAACAGCTCTTCTGATTCCAGGTCTGGTATCCATTTGCTGAACTACACCTTCTCCATCACCTGCTCTCAGTTGCTCTCAAATGGGTGTTGTAGAGTAACTTGTGACAGGAGCTAAGATTTGGTCTGTAAAGGTTTTCCTTGGGATGATTTCTCTCCTAAGAGACAGAGTGAGGTTGTGACATCTCGGTGGGAGGCTTTTGATCACACAATCTTAAACAGCAGTGATGCCATGATCGAAGAGCTGAATTTCAGTCTCGTACTGGCCTTACATCGAGGCAGACGCACAACCTTCAGATGCGCTGCAGACATTGCTGTCACTAAGGGGGGAACCACACCATGCTCTAGCAAAGTGCCACCCTTCTGCTGGGAAACACCGACTCTGATCAGCAAAAACCTGGGCCCAGAACTGCAAGCAGAGAGACACTGAAGGTGGAGTATGGCTGTGCCCCTGTGCTGAGCCTCCAACTTACCCTGCTCTTTCACTGCCATCATCTGCAGCTCTTTTCTTCCTTGCTTTTCCAAACCCTCCTGTTGTTATTAACGCTGGGACTGTGTATATCAAAGAGAAAGGGCACATAACATCAGTGGCAATACTGCACTAAGGCTGTTTGTGTCTTCAAAACAGTAAATAGGGGCTTTTAATGTCACACAGTTTTATCTCCAGCAGGAGACCAAAAAAAAAAAAAATAAAAATCTAACTTTGTATTTTCATATTATCTGTGACCATCAGCCATTTCACTGAAAAGAGAATCTGTACTGTTGCCAGATTTTTGCCTGCACAGGGTGAGCCTGCTTATCAGGCACAGCCAAAAGCCAGAGGGGAGGCGATATTTCCTTAGTACCAACTCTCAACAGGATTGAAGGAGGCAGTTGTAGCTAACTTCCACACTGGGCAGATTTTGTCCCCAAAATACCAGCAAAAAACCACAAACAGTTCTTCTAAAAATCAGTAAAGGTATGTCATGAAAAGTTGATTCGAGAAAAAACTGAAAGGAGGCCTTTTCTCCAGAAACTACCTGGATGCTTCCTCGGCTTGTGCTCTGCTCCAGTGCAGAGAAGTCGGACCTTGCCTTTGACACTTATTGCTCCTTTATGACTTTTTGCAGGTGACTCAAAATTTAAAAAAAAAAAAAAAATTAAAAAAAAAATGCTCAACATCCACTTACAGAAGTTTTAACAGGCATAAATCTACCAACTCTGCCAAAATCGCCAGAGATTTACACTTGTATAAGTGAGATCACAGCTGGACAATAATATTTCACTTTTGAAACACAGCAGATTGCAGCAAACGGCAGGCACTACTTTTAAATATTGTCCCAGGAAGGATATCTCTAAGGCCCTGAGTGAAGAGCTCAGTTCCCAGTTACACCAGACAGGCCCAGAGCAAATGTGCTGGTGTCTGAAAACAACCCCTTTCAAACACAGTAAAGAAGGACCAGCTCTGCTGACCCAAACAAGAGTCCTCCCCGCCATCACCCAGACACATTTTCCGCGGACTTACCCAGGGACTGTTTGCACTCTGTTCCTTGCCGAGTCCAGTACTCCACGCAGCCAGCCCTCTCCTCCAGAGGAGGACACGCTTCTCCTCCGTTCCTGGGCTCCTGGATGACGTGTCTCCTCCGGACGCGATACGTTGTCCTGCAAGGCTCCGCACAGCCGCTCCAGACACTCCACTGGGATACAACACAGGGGACAACTGGGGGACGAGGAACAAACAGGAATGGGGAAGGGAACAGAAATGATGCAAGTGACAAGTCTTCTCTTTCTGGACACTTTTTGACACAACCTTCCTTATTTCACAGCTGTCCCACAGCCGTGTTGGGCAGTGCCCAGTCGCTCTGCTCCCAGGACGTTACCTGCCCAGCAGCTCCAGCCATCCAGGCTGGTCTACACGCGGCCGGTCTACACCACTGCAAACCTCCCCTGCAAACTGGGACCTGCACCGGGGGAACTGAGAAAGACTGAAAATTAGACAAAGTCAAACTGAGTGGTAAGAGAAGAGGAGGACAGAGAGCAGGAGGAAAGAGAGGGTGTTGTAGACCCTTCATGAAGGTAAGGCCTAAAATATTACTGACTCTTCTTGTCGGATGTCACACAGCGAAGGACAGACAGCAGTGGAGCTTGGACCGCTGCACGGCAGGCTGGAGTTGAGTTCAAGAAGCAAAACAATGGCTTCCACTTTGTCCACGTGGTAACCAATCCCAAAGTATTTTGAGGGTGTGACTCGTGACTTTAAATCTATGGAACCTGCACTAAGTAACGCTTCAAAAATCCTCACATCCCTGAGCATCCCTACTTGCTCCCACACAGTATCCACCGTGCTAAACTCCTAAGCCTTGGCATCAAAGCAGCTGAAAAAATGTCTTCGTTTGGTGTTCAACATTCCATCCACTCAGTCTGAAACACACTGGTACCATTCCCTGTGCATATTTCCCTTTTGTGATCTTGTCCCCATGAGCATGCCTGTAGCTGAGTTTCATAGGATGGAATCTTTGGAGGGAACTATCAAGAGTAACACAGGAATCACTCGAGCCACAAGCATTCACCTGCTGGTCTCTCTCAAAGGCAACCTGGAGCAACAGCCCAGGATATACTTGAAGAGTTGTACTCACCAATACAACCTACGCATCAAGAACAATACCTGTGGAGAAAAACACTCGCAGGTCAGCCCAGAGTATATTTTTTCCCCACACATTCTCAGTTAGCTACAGTACCTCTCCTTGCATTTCTGTATCTTCTGACTGAACTGGGCCAGTGTAGGACAACACAACACACCAGCACTTCTGAGGACACCAATCTTCAGCCACACCAGTGAACAGGTGTTTTACCAGCTTTCCCACCTTGCTGGTTCAGCCAGCGGGTACCTCCCGCACCCAGCACCCAGCTCCTGGCCAGCACCCACCACTTGCTTGCACTTACAAGCCAGCTTCCACCAAAGTCCCTGCAAGTACTCAAGAGGCAAACTACACAAGGACAGAAAAATTTGACCTATGACGCTGAGCTCAGGCATAGGGAATTCCTCAGTTCTGAATCCAGCTCCACTACTCAATTTAAAGGTGCGCATGGGCCCATTCAAATCCATTGCGAGCTACTATGCCCAGCACCTTGGAGTACCAGGCATTCGCACTCTGATTTCCAAAGGCATTCAAAAGCCTGGGTCCCAGGGATTTCACTGAGAGGTAAGCTGCTAAACGCTGTTGTGAACCCCAGCCTTTCTGAGCAGCTTGAGCTTGATATGTCAATTTATTCTCCCACGGAACACAGATAACCCCTAATTACTGCATTAACCTCATTTGAAACTGCCCTTGTCTTCAGAAACTTTAGGAAGATCTTTCAAACGCTATTGCTTTTCTTGTCTGAAGTCACCACAAACAGCTTTTTAAACACATTCAAGGATTAGGAATTAAATCAATTATCTAAATAATTGATACATTTCATATATGCAGCAACATACTCCAAAAAAAGACTGCACATTGGACTGCAGGCTGCCCAACACTGTAATCCTTTTCTGCATCTCATTTTTTCGGAATCTGCTGCTCTTTTCAGTTTTGTTTAGCATCAGATATTAATGCTATTGCCTTACTATTTTACTTTATAAGTCAGTTTGATCAAGTAGCTCTTTAGTGGTGAAAGAAAGAGAACTACTGAAAAAAGGCCAGGCAATGAAGGCAGCACAAGTCGAAGAGAATTGGGCTCCTTGCATTCAGCACAAATGAATCACAAGAAATAATGCAGAAATATCTCACCCTGCACAAACACAGCTTTCTCACCAGACCTCCCTAAGCAGGGTGCTGTTATTCCTCTGGCGAGCTACAGGACGGCACCGGGCTGCACCCACCTGGCTGGCAAAGTGCTGTGGCTGTGACCCCGGTACTGCTGCAAGGTGCCCAGCACAGAAGGGAGCAGTGACGGCCCTTTGCTATCCCCTCACGGTGCATAACAAGGGCCTGCACTTTCCTTACGAATCTTTCATAAGATGAAGAACAGACACGAGGGGTTCCCGTCTATCTCAGTTATCCCAGGCAACTGCTGAGAGCGGCAGGATCCAGATGCAGCGGCGCTGAAGGAGCACCCAACAGCCCAATGTGTTCAGACACCAAAGGCACTGGGGCACCCAGCACCACCACACCCCTCCCCTGGCAGCCCCGACACCAGGACAGCCAAGCTGCACCCCCCCACGGAGCTGGGGTGCCCTGCCTGAGGGCTGAGCTGAGGCAGGTTTAGGGGATCCCGGGGGCAGCAATTTTATGCTGCTCTCTGCTGCACTGAGTTGGTTTCCATACCTGCCAGCCTGTCCTCATTCACAGACATCACTTATTTAAATCTCTTGGAATGAACTGATTTCCCACCCATCTTCCAACTCTCTCTTTAAAGGAAAAATGCAATTAACTCACGGGAACGTCTCGTCTGCCCATCTGCCTAGAGTAAAACTCTGCCAAGGCACAGCTACACAGGTTGTTAAAAAAAAAAAAAAAAAAAAAAGCATTATGTGAGGAGAGAAGACTCCTTGAGCATGCTGTTTGTGGGAAGGGAATAGGTTATTTTAGTGAGTGGTGCAATCTCATAGCTCCACTGTAGCAGAAGACATTGATGGAGGAGCAGCACTGCCTGGGGACCCGGCCCCGCAGCCGCAGGACCCT